GAAAGAAGCAAGAGAAGAATGACTCATCACATACCAGGGAAGTCCCCTTAAGGCTAGAAGCAGATTTCTCTGCAAAAACTTCACAGGCCAGGAGAGAGTGGGATGATATATTCAAAGTGCTGAAAGAACCCAAAAAGTCAACCAAAAATACTTTATATTTAGCAAAGCTTCAGAAATGAAGGAGGTAAAGGCTTTCCCAGGTAAACAAAGGCTGAGGGATTTCATCACCACTGGGCTTGACTTACAAGAAATGCCAAAGTGAGCTCCTCAAGCTGAAATAGAAGGATGCTAATTAGTAACAGAAAAACATGTGAAAGTATAAATCACACTGGTGAAGGTAAGTATGTAGTCACATTCAGAATACGCTATAGTGTAATGGTGGTATGTAAATGACTCTAGTAGAAAGGTTAAAAGACAAAAGTATTAAAGGTAATTATAGTTACAATAAAGTGCTAATGGAGATACAGTATAAAAGGTGGAAATGTAACATCAAAAACATAAAATATGGGTGACGGAGTGAAAGAGTCGAGATTTTGTATGTGATTGAAATTAAATTGAAATCAGCTTACAGTAGACAGTTATAACTATGATATGTTTTATGTAAGATTCATGGTTGACACAAAGCAAAAATCTATAGTGGACACACAAAAGATAGAGAGAAAGCAATCAAAGCATACCACTCTAGAAAATCATCAAACCACACAGACAGACAGCAAAAGGGAAATGAAAAAAGAAACTATAAAATAGCTAGAAAAACAATAAGTCCTTATTCATCAATAATTATTTTAAATGTAAATGGATTAAATTCTCCAATTACAGGCTAGAGCAACTGAATGGATAAAAACCTACAAAACAAAGACACAAAAACCAAGACCTGATTACGTGCTGCCTACAAGAGACTCACTTCAGTTTTAAGGACACATGTAGTCTAAAGGAAAGGGATGGAAGAAAACATTTAATGTAAATGAAAAACCAAAAGAGAGCAGGAGTGGCTATAATTATACCAGACAATGGAGCTTGAGCTTGTGACCAGGGCTTGGGAGCAGGAGGGGTGAGAGTTGGCACAAAAGGAAGGGAAAGAAAAAATAGGGAAGTGGGGCTGGGGACCGTCACAAAGCAGCAGCAGGGTGGAGGTAGAAATCACTGCACCAGGAATGGGAGCTTCTAAGTTCCAGTCCTGGTTCTGTTTCCAAGTGCTGTGTGAGCATGGACTTTGATTCTGAGATGAGAAGAGAAAGAGGCAAGGGTATAGCTGAGATTTGCAACCTGGATGAGTCAGGATGGTGGATGCCCAAATCAGAAGTCAGGAGAGGAAACTGACTTGGGCTGAGGATTAGGCTTATCCTCATCTTGGGTTACATCTGGAGAACAGAGTCCTTTCCCTTTGGAATTTTCTGAATCACCCTGACCTCAAGAACATTCTGAGTCTTCCCAGATGATAATCTGGACAAGGACCATGTCTCACATGGCACCTTGTTGGGTAACTCTCACTGCCTGGCCTGCATAGGTCTCAGTTTACCCATCTGTCAATTCAGAGGGGTTATAACCTCATCAGTGAAATGTTCCTGCAAGACTAATTCTAGGCCTACTGACCCCACCACTCAATCCTGGCTCCTCCTTCCTTTTTCTGTCGTTTCCCTCTGCTCAGGTCCCCATGCAGCTACAGGCACACCTTGGTGAGACCCAACTGGCCATCTTGCAGTTACACCTGGGGCCCTTGGGCCAACGTAGTAAACCTCACCTTTCCATCTTTGTCCAGGTGTATGAGGCAGGTGTATCTAATTCTTACTCTCTAAGTCCTGCAGGAGCCACAAACTCAGGGTCACAAAATCTCAGCATCATGGTGGAGCTGAACCGAATAAGGGCTTTCTGCTTGGGTCCAATTGGGAGCAGAGGAATGAGGGATATTGGGTTGTGAGAAGCAGATGAGGATGTTGTGGGCTTGCCAGGGGGGAGGGGCAGAACCATGGGTATGAAACAGGGGTTTTTCAACCAAGAAGAACCAAGACACCAAGAGACCCTGTCTTAACTAAGAGAGGTCAAGAGAAACTAGTGAACCCATTGCAGCCTACCCCCGCCTCTCCAGAGGCTCATCAGAGCTTCACACTACTGGGCAAAATGTCCTGATCTGGACACCTGGAAATGTATATCTCTGTCCTGGTTCTCTCTCTGCCTCCCCATGTCGGTTATGACTCCTCTCTGAGCCTCAGCTCTTCCACGTGGGGCTAAGAGCATATGCCACCCATGGCTGCTGATGCTAATAACAGCAGCAGTGGCAGCAACAATAGCACAGAGCTCCTACTTATTGAGTTCTTACTATGAATTAGTCTCTGTGCTAAATGTCTAACATGGATGATCTCTTTAACCCTGACACAGTCCAGGAAGTTGGATCTTTATCTCCCATTTACAGATGGAAAGACAGAGGCAGAGCGCAGTGAAGCATCTTGCCCAATGTGGTAGTGCCAGGTTGGGGACCAATTCCCGTCTGTGCTTCCAGCACAAAGTCAGGCAAGTGCCTGCTTGGGACCTGGGCATGAAACCCACACCCTCCCTGCAGGTGCCTTCTGATTGTCAGTCTTCAGACTCTCTGGCCCTCTGAGCACTCCCTCGCAGGTAATGTGAGGACCACGTGGGGTGCTGACAATGCACTTAGCTGGAGGTGAGGTCCAGCAAGCCTCTTAGCTCCAGCCTAGTATGAGTCTGCGTCTTGGAGTCATTGCCTAGAGGAAGGTCTATTGGGGGTTCAGTATGTATGTAGGGCAGCAACAGATGGACAGCAGGCAGAGGGTGATTTGTCTACTCACCTGACTCAAAGACCACCAGGTGCTTGGTTTGACCTAACATCTTTCTCAAGTTCATCTGCTGGCAAGTGTGGAGTACCAAGTTCAGGGCCCGCTGCTCCCCGTATTGAGCCACCATGCGTGAGGCCACCTCCATGCTGCTGGCCTTCTCTGGTTGAGCTGAGGTCCCACTGGGAGAGGGCTCCCAGGGTTTTTTATCAGGCAGCCACTGCTGGAACTCCTTCAGCTCCTCCTTGCTCATTACCTCCAACGTCTGCGCCAGCCACTGCTGGACTGTACTGGCCATCTCTGCTCCACTGACTATGTCAGCTGTACCGGACATCTCTGCCCCAGATGGGGGGCTTTTGGGGGTGTTCACTGGGGAAGGGGTGAGTGGTGGGTGGTGAGGGGTATCAGGAAGGCAGAGAATAGCAGTCTTCCTTGGCCCCTAACATCTCCCAATGCAAGATTCCCACTGTGGTCATTTCTCTTTGCCTGGTAAACTCCTATTCAGCATTCAGAACCCACTTTTGTAAAACCCAGGGCATCTTCCAATAGATGGTGTTGGGACAAGGGACGGGGAGGGGACCGGTAGGAAAAGGCACAGGAAGCAGGAGCCCAGAGGAGGCTGGGGGCACTGGAAGAGGTCAGGTTACTGGGGTGCTGGGTTGGGGCCTGGGGCCAGTGAGGAGCATGAAGGGGCAGGAGTGAGAGAACGGGAGGATGGAATGTTCAGGATACTCACTGTTCTGAGCTCCTCAACTTCCCTCTCCTGGGACCTGGACTCCTGGGACCAAGCCTTGAGCTGCAATGCTGACAGGAAGTGGGGTGTTGAAAGAAGAGGAACAACCCAGGACTTATACTGGCTCTGGGACAAACAGGAAGAGCCTCACATAGCCAGAGCAGAAGAAAGGGTCAGGAGAGGCAACCACATGGAGGTGTGGCCAGAGGAGGGAGTGGCCAGAACATTTTTTTTTAAGGTAAAATAGACATTTTATTTATTGGTACTTGAACTTAGAAACTAACCAGCCTAACTGGTACTATTATCACGATACAGCAAAGTACAAAACGTCTTTTTCAAATACCTAAGTAATAAACAAATTAGGGGTTGTAGTAAAGGCGAAAGGGGCAGAGGAAATCAATGAAACACGTTATGGCTTATTAACCTTTCACATGAGTTGAGGTTTTTAAGAAGCCCCCCAACCCCAGAAAATAGGAATAATCCTTCATCACACATCTGTATACTTTTACTTTCTGTTTTCGAGATAAGATTCTAGGTCCTAAGATATCCAAAATAGTATTCTAGCTAGTTGTCTATAGCAAGAGACACCTTTTATCATCATTTTTTCTACAGCAGCCAGGGTACAAAAACCTCCTGATTAGACTCCAGTCATACCCCACTCCCACCCCTCCAAATGGACACAATAGGCATAATAACAAAGAAGCAGGATATCAAGGCAGAGATACACAGAAAAATCCTAGAAGTGATACAGTCACTGCCCAGATTGATTGCATAATATACCCATCATCACACACCGTCAGGCTGTCAGTTCGTGGAGTAATTTGGGAATAAATCCATGATTTGCTGGGTACTACAATACTCAGGGGTTTGCTGTAGCACCTCGTAGCTTTCCCCAGCAGTTTGCAAGGTGGCCTCCAAATCACTGACAGGTTGATTTTGCTGGAACTGAATCTGGGGCAGTGGGGCTTCCTCCCCAGAGCTGTAGAGCTGATAGCTCCAGGTCTTGTTGTTCCAAGACTGGTTATTTCAGGCCTGGGGGCACCAAGTCTGACTGTTCCAGGAATGGAACCTCCAAGATTGGCTGCTCCAGGAATGGTTGTTCCAAGGTGGGTCATTGCAGGTCTGGGTGCTCCACGCTGAAGCTTTTCCAGAAGCGTTCACCAGGCATACCTGGTGACAGGAAGAGAGGCCCGGGTACTCTGCAGTTGCTGAGCCCTGAGTCACACGGTGGCTGTCCTTTGGCTATTGTATTTCTGCCACCTCTTACATTTTATTCTCTGGTTCTGGAGCTAGACCTTAATCTGTTTGTAGCTAAGGTTCAGGATGCTGGAAAGTTCTTGCGTCTGCTGGGGGCTGAGCTATTTCTGTCTCTGAAATGTCTCCCCGACTACCCAGAACAGGGTCAGTGAGAAGACGATTCTGATCTTCTGTTTCTTGACCTGGACCTTCTCTTCCTTCTCACCTGTGCTGTTCTCTGCAGAAGTGGGTAGTATTACACTGGGACTGGTATTCATAGAAGAATCGGGACTGTACTGAATAAGCAGATCCATGGAGGAAGGAAGAGGGAGGACTGCAGTCTCCATGTTGAGTGTCTCAGCAGATGACATTTGCAAGGATGCATAATTATCTTCAGGCCCATAAATCTCAGGCACTGGTGAAGTTTCCCTAGAATTGAATGCTTCGGGGCAAGGCGGGCTTTGGGGACAAGTCAGATCCACACTCATTTTCCTGAGTTGAAAGAGAGAAAAAAAACCAATGAGTTAGGTTGTAAGAGATGCCGAGGCCTAAGTATCTAGGTAGAAGAGCTTAGAGAAATAACCCAGGGCAGTTTTTTTAATGACCAGTAAGCAAAATGAAGGACATTCAACAGCCACACTTGCCAGGAGTAGAGAGTGCTACCCTAAGAGGTGTGATGATCAGAGGAATCTGAGCCCTCCATAAAGGGCCCTGAGACCCGGTATGGTGGGTGGTGTGACCTGGAGCAGGGGTGTGAGTTTTTTGTTTCCTCCTGACCCCCATTAATTCTGACACCAACTCTTTGGACACCAGCTCGTTGTCCTGCAACTCAATTGAACTGTGACACTAACTACTCAGAGGCAGCCCAGGACCCTTGGTTAAGGGCTCAGTCCCACAAACAGCTCCCTACCTCAGATTCCAGGGTGCCCACTGCACTCAGAGGTCCCTGCACTCCCATCTCAGATTTGATAATTTGCTAGAATGACTCACAAGACTCAGGAAAACACAACTTCCTGGTTAATTTGAAACGATAGCACTCAAGAAGAGCCCAATAGAAGATGTGCATAGTGCAAGGTGTGGAGGATTTTAGGAAGTTTTCATTACATAGGCAGGGTTGATTTGTTCTTCCTGGACACGGTGCCTTGGTCTTTCTGGTGACCAGCCTCCATTCAGAAGTTATCTAGAGGTCCCCAGTCCCCAGTCATCTTACTGGCACACAAAAAACTCTGTTGTCACTCCAGAGATCCTAAGGGTTTTAGGAGCTGTGTGCCAGGAACTTGAGACAAAAACCAAAGATTTATTTTTTTTTAACATCACAAGGGGTCCCCTAGAATTCTGGACAACTTTGGAGATTGTAAGTCTTGGAGTTCAAGGCCAGGGAGAGAGAGGCCAATCGAGCAGAAAGTAGCAGAGAAATGTACTCCTCCAGTGCCTGTCTTTAGCCACATCCTCAGCCAGGCAAAACCCTTGGTGGCCCATCACCTGTCCCTATTTCCTCTTGACCTGTGGATTTGATCATGTTATCTTTAGTGCCTCTAAACTGTCAGCCATCGAGTATGGAAATCCTTGACTAATCCTTTAATTTTGGGCATGTCAAGAGGGCCAGCAGAATGGAGTGTGGAGGCCAAGAGAAGCAAGAGGACTTGCTCACTTGACACAGCAGGTCAGCCGCTGAGCGGGCACCAGGAGCCAGATCTCTGGATACCCAAGCCAAGGATTTTTCCTCTTTCAGTCGATTTCATTGAATTCTCAGTCAGCCAGGTTATGGAAGAAAGGATATGGGGCTTGTAGTCAGAAGGCCCAGCTCTGCCTTTAGCAGTTTTGTAATGTTGGACAAGTCACTTAGCTTGCTGGGCCTGTGTCAATGTCTGTAAAATAAGGGTAATAATGCCTACCTTATGGGGTATAAAACCAAATAATGCCCATGAATGCTGGAGCACTTAGTAGGTGCTTAATACAAGTTGACTCATCCTTTTTCTTCTTATTTCACCTGCTAAAATTCCACTCATTTTTTTAAGGTCCAACCCGAATGGCACCTCTTCCATGAAGCCTGTTGAGCTTTGATCTTCCATTCCATGGTTCATAAGCATATCTCAGATACCTTGGAGTTCAGTTATGTGTCCCTGGAGGCTGAGTAGTGCAATGGAGAGCATAGGGGTTTTAAACCTGATAGGTCTGGGCTCTGACGCTGTCTTTGCCACCAGCCGACTGTTACCTTGGGTTCTTGGACCCACCAGTGTGTCTTGTCTGCAAGTAAGGATTACAGCCAAACCTCAAATACTATGCTGCTTAAATGAATAAACACGAACTTGCCTAGCACAGCACCTGGAATGTAGCAGAGGGTCGAGAAACATCAGTTACCTTGTTCTTAACGTTGTGGGTTCCTTGAAGGCAGGTAACTGAGTCTCAGCTTTTTGTATTCAGAAAAGTAGCTCAATGCTTTGCATGGCATTGGTGTTCAGATAATATATTTAATGAAGTAGTAATTTAAAATAGTACTTTTAGGGGCTGGCTGGGTAGCACCGTTTGTAAGAGCACGAGCTCTGAGCAACAGGGTTGCCAGTTCGTTTCCCACATGGGCCAGTGAGCTGCGCCCGAGCTGAGCTGCCACTGAGCTGCCAACAGGTGGCATAATTGCTCAGGTGGTGCGAGCGTGTGCTCTTAACAACGTTGCCCGTTTGACTCCCGCATGGCTTGTTGGGCTGTGTCCCCCTACCACTGAGACTGAACATGGCACCTTGAGCTGAGCAGGCGCTCAGCTGGTGAGAGCGCATGCTCTTAACAACAAGGTTGCAGGTTTGACTCCCACATAGGATGGTGGCTTGCACCCACCTGCAACTAGATTGAAAACAGTGACTGAACTTGGAGCTGAGCTTGCACCCTCCACAACTTGACTTGGAGCTGATGGGTATTGGAAAAACACAATGTTTGCCTTCCTCAATTCCCCAATACTGTTCCCTTCCCCAATTCGCCAATAAAATCTTTTTAAAAATATTACTTTAATTTAATTTAATTTCCAAGTAATATTTGAATTCACTTCCATGATAAAAACTGTAAGCAATACAGACATAGCTCCATGGAGTTTACTAGTGTTTCTAGTATGTTCTATGTCCTCCCAGACACACAGAGACACACACAATACATCTGTACAAAACATGTAGCTTTGCTTGAACACATGTTTTATTCTACAGCATGCTTCAATTTTTATTATTATTATTATTATTATTATTATGTAATACTAGATGCATAGAAAGAACATTGCAGTGAATGTTCTCGCATGTGCCTTTTTGAATATTATGTATTTCTACATATATTATGTGTTACAAATATTATGTTTTAGTCTTTCCATGTATTAAGTTTTAAATTAAAAAAAAAGACCCCACAACAATTATTTCTTTTAAAAGGAGAAATAAAGTCCTGGGGAAGATTTGAGCGCTGCTGGGTGCTGGCCATCTGCATTTCAGCTTCTTTCCTGCCAAGGCCCCTTTTCCAGAGCCTCTGGCTCTCAGCTAGCAGCTGGCACTCCTTCAGTCTGGCAACACCATGGAAACTAACCAGGTTGTGCAGTGATTTACCAGCTGCAGGCCCTGGAGCTCCCTGGGGTTGGAACCTGGCGAGCAAACCTCTGCAACAGGCTGGAGTTGGAAGGAGGAGCCCGAGGAAGCGGCGCCTGGGCTGAGAGGCCGGGGGACCCTGCAGAGGCACCCGGGTCTGTGGGGCTCCAGCCTGCGGCCACACCTTCCCCAGTGATAGAAATACAGCCATAGAAATACAGCTGCAGCCCAGGTCACTGCTCACTGTGCGCCTGCGAGACCACCCAGTGCCAGCAGACACACATCCCCACCACGCCTCTCCAGTGGCTAACGAATTCTTTCAGTGAAAACCCTGGGACCCTGAGTAGATTTGTGTGGACTCCAACGCTGACTCGAAGGCCTGTTGGACAAGCTTCCCCGGGAACAACCTCCTGCTGCCCACATGCTCAAGTCCAGGTCCGTGTTGGGCAACAAGCCTGGTAGGCAGCTCTCAAAGGAGAGGGCGCAGGGGGCCCGTGCCAGGCACGCCTCAGAGGCTGCTGCGCACCCCCTACCCAAGGAGGAGGCCCCTCCAATGGACGAGGGCTGCTATCTTGACCATTTCCCGCACCTCTCCATCTTTACGCAGCCATTGCCACTTTTATCACCTCTGGCATCTTTACCTATATCAATTTATAGCTTGCTTGAGTGGCAGCAGTGGGACTGGGTGGGCACTGGGAGGGGTGAAGGGCAGTGGGGTGGGGAGGGGAGAGACAGAAGTAAAAAGAAGGACTAGGAATCTTTGTGTTTGGGAGACACGCTGGACCCCTTTCATTTAGCTTTCTTCTCTGCATGTCCCTACCTTTGTCCATCAGTAGAAATGCAAAAAGCAGCTGCCGGTAATGAAACAAGGGTCCATTTGCACCTGAAGATTAGGGGAGGGGGCAGTCAGACCCCAACATTTAGAATCTTGGGGTGCAATAGAACCCTGTTTATAATTAAGATAACATCTCTGGACCCTACCACTTTGTGAGGTGGGGGAACGCACAGAGAACCCATCATTCTGTGTTTGGGGCATGCACAGCGAGCCCAACTTTCTGTTCTTCAAGGGATGAGCCAGCCCTGGGCCTGAGGCTTTCCTGAGAGGGTCCTGAAGGGAGTGTCGGCGCCATGGCCAGGACTAGGCTAGAGCCCTGTGAAGCGGCATTGCCCCCAGGAGGAGCCAGCTGTGTCCCCAGCTGGTGCAGACAGGTCTCCAGTGGGATATGGCGGACCTCAGCATGCAGGGGACACCTCCAGAGTGCAGGACACAGTGAGTGGCTTTTGTCCGGGTGGCGTACCCTGTCCCTAGGGCTTTAGGCTGCCCTTAATGTTTTTCCTGCTATATTCTTTGCTGCCTTCACTGCTGTCCCTGCTGAGCCTAGCGAGGACCCATAGCAAGAGGAGGTGTCCTGCCGGGAACCCACACTCTCATCATGTCCTGGGAAGCTTGGGACCAACTTCTGCAGACCTCCCTGAAACGGCAGGCCTGTGGTTTGCATGATTCACAGGGTGTGGTCCTGGCTGTGGTCCGCAGAAGTGCTGTCCTCGAGGACTGTGCAGGCAAAATTTTCACTTGTGTGGGGAGAAGCCTGGACGGTAAAATCTGAGAGCTGAAATAGCTCAGCGTTAGGGTGTTAAAATAGCTCTGGTGAAATGTGGTGTTTCTGTTAGAGGAAGCCTCTGAAGGGGAAAAGTCCAAAGGGCTCCCCTCTGCAGGAAGACAGACTAAAAGAGAATCCTCACTTGAGAATTCATTTGTTGCTTCAATTCAGCAAACACTGGTTGAATGTCTGCCCTGCGCCTGTGCTGTAGTAAGCTCTGAGGGTCTGCAGATCTCGGAGGGTGCACGGGTGGCTACCACGGGAAGTAGTGGGAATGCAGTGGTTTTGCCTGAGCCTGGTGGGAGCAGGGGTGCTACTAGAGGGCCACTTAATTAGGTAATTGTGCTGGGGAATTGTTAACAGATGTATGTGATGCTGCCTAGTCAGAGGCTAGAGGCTTTCTTTGCGGTACATGCCAAGCAGGTATCCAAACGACATTGTGTGGTGTGAACATTTCTTGCGGGAGCCAGAGCAGTAAAGCTCTTTTCTCTGCACGTTGACCAACTCTGACTCTTTTTTGCCTTCCCAGGCAGGGAGGACCTAAGACCTTCCACCCTTGAGCAAAGAGAGGGATCCCTGTTCTGCTCAGACTATATGCCTTCCAAGGACTGGGCTGCCCGTTCTGAGGGGGGTGAGGCACCACTAGGAACAAGGTTATGGGGACATTCTAGGGGCGCAGAGGGCGTGGCTCTGACATTCAGGCTCTAATCAGTAGAGGCTGGCCCTGCAGGACTGAGAGTCCTTCCACCTGGCCTTTCCCTGCCTCTTATTGACGCGGCGCGGTCTGGACTCATCCTTGCATCTCCTGCAGCACTTCCTTCTCCTAGGAGCAGGCCTTCTCCTCGTGCCTCCCAATGGGCTGCCCTTGTCTTCCCATCAGAACTTAGTGCTCCCTATAATTGCCCCTTTGTATTGTCCCACAAACCAATACACTGCGTAGGTTAGATCGAACGTCTCCCACATATTTCTTAATCTGAGACCCCCTCTGTCAGCCCAGCATTCTTCTACCTTGCTGTTCCCCAATTTGGAAAGTGTAGTTTCATGATATTCAAATGTCCACTGGCCCCTAGTAACAGGGTTGGAGGAGGTGGTGCTCTGACAGTGCCTGATTGGGCCTGATTAGGGCCCCAGGTAACTAAGGGTCACCAGAAACTAATGTTGATATTATAGTGAGGCATTGGATGTACTGCATTAGTGGGAAGAGGGTAGAGATTTAGGAGACCCTGGAAAGGCATTCAGTTCATTAAGTTTCTGTCTTATTCCAAAAGGAATCAAAGGCATTGTGTCTTTTTAGGACTCTTGGTTGCAAATAACAGAAAAGACATTGGAACCAGCTGAAGCAAACAGGGAAAATTAAAGGCAG